ACGAGAATTTTTGTTTCATTAAATTTCTGTTGAATTCTTCCAGAACAGATTGCATCGTTGTGGTTACAGTATGCTGTTCTGGTGAGTACTCTCAAATAGCTTGTACAGTGTTTTCCAGGATATACTGATGGATCATGCGTTGAGGACGATATCCTATATCGCAGACATTGGCGATCTGGTGGTTTTGATGGCTCGCCGCATGTCGCAATCCACAAACGACGATGAAACCATTGCTGAGAGGTAGTTGTGTTTAAATGGAAGATAAAATGTTGCCAATAAATGAGGGCGCATGCGAAAGGACCGGAGTGTGCTTGCATTTCTGTAAAGTAAAATTGTGGCGGGGGTCTAATGAATAAATGCACCAATTCATGTTAGACGGCAATGTTTGCTTCATGCAGTTCATGGAAAACAAAAACTTTAGATGCACTGCTTCTGTTAGAATTTCATTACGTAGTTATAAGTTTATTTCTTAACAATTTATTTCTTACCAATCGGTGTACGGATTCTGTCTTAAGGATTTTATTGGGGTGCTTCCACAAGCCAAGCATCCCTTGCTTCACTGCTCTCCCCGTCACAGCCAACGTCCACTCTTCTGCTTTCGTCAGTGATGTGCAATCTAACAATGGATTATTTTCTAACCTTTTTGTTTCCGATGTGTTAATTTCGCCCCCACTTTTTTCGTGCTTTAACTCCTGTAGCATTTCATTCTTTTCATGAACGCCAAAAGCAGTGAGAAACGGTGTCATCCTCAAAGTGTAAAGGATTTAGCTATTCGAAATTTCCGTCCATATCAAAATGTCGTCATATGACAGGTCTTGGAACTTGGAAGATATGGAATTTTCGACCTTACGCCTCTTTTCATCGGTATGGGGGCTGAAGAAATAAGTGAAATGTTTGACGGATAGCTTGTGTTCACTTTCTTAACAATTTCCGCATTGCTTTCATTCTCCTTTCTGGTGAGCTTGTTGCACTTCATTCAGATCTACTTGATCGAATGCTTTTTCGTAATCTTCGAATAGGAGACAAAGAAGGAGTTGGTGCTCTCTTGCTCGTCCCAGCATCTTTTTTAGGATGAAAATGTGATACTTTTGTTATAAGTACTTCGGTTTCCTGCTTGTTTCGCACCTTGTCAGTCATTTAGCAGTAATCCTCATGATTATCTTGGTAACATAAAAGATCTGTTCTTAATCGTCCTTTTTGTGCAGCAAACGGTATTCGATTTACTTCATCTGCTGGTTGCTCTGTCAGTCTACTTCCGACTGAATGGAATAGTGAGAGTTTTCCAAATTTCTTACTTTCCGAATTGATGAGTGCAGCATTAGTGCTGTCATTGCCAGGAATCTTCCCACTTTTTATCAGAAAGGCTGCATGACTTACCCCGCCTGTAAACGCAAAAAGAATGTGCTTATTGTCGGTGTGGATTAAACATTTTCTACCATTAAATTCTTATAATTTACAAATTTTGTAATTCTCATCTCCTACCTTTTTACTCTTCGTCTTCTTTCGCCCGTTGTTAATGTACCCTATTTT